GAAAAACTGGTTTTCTAGAAAACTGGGTCTTCAAGAAACATTGGGAAAAATGCTTTATGCCACTAGAATCAGCTCGTCGAGCTCTATCAATTGGGGTACCTCTCGTTAGCATCTGTGATTAACACTTGGGATAGTTCCCTCGTAAGACAATCATGAAGATAGCATTTATTTTCAAATATAAAAGTCATATTCATCATTGGTATAATAAATCTATACTAGTAAAAGTACCTTTTACAAGAAATTTGTAGATACGTTTTTATCAAACCCTTACATTAGAGACTTTACTCATTTTGATAAAAAAGTTAATAAGCATATATTCATTTTGATTCATTTTAAACAACCATATTATTAACTACTCGAACATTCTAAAAATTGACATTTGTATTTAATTTTGAGTGAACATTTGAATGAAATAAGTTTCAGATGGAAGATATGGTCGATGCATTTTGATCCTATTAGCCATGGCCTGATCGTGTAATAAACCCCGTGACATCGCTTAAGCGTGCCCCTCTCCTCTTTTTGGACTTTGCGTAGAAATGCTATGAAATAAAAACTAAAAGTTGCTGGGGCTTCGTATTTTCAGAACTGTTTGGAAACTCAATGGAGCACTTTTCATTTTTGTTTCAAGTTTTCAACTATTACCGTTCAACAGTTTTTCAGAAAACTCGGTTTTTCATTGTGTCAGATTACGAGCTCCCTTAAATTTCATCCGGTCGAGTTCAAAATTTTACTCGATGTACTCAAGGTCATTCCGCAGAAGTCATTTTTGGGAAATTGTTTTGAGCTCTTTCCTGGCAGAATTATATTCACTAGCGATTATCACCAGGTTTCGAGCGTGTTTGGTTGTGAGCTCAGTAAAAGTTTGGTTTGAAAACCGAAATTTTTTTTGAAGCCGTGGCTGAATAAGGCAGCATCCCAGCTTTCAGGCATGATGTTCGGTAATCGGAAAAATCTTTTGTTCTAGGTATACCAACATATAACCCGAAAAAAAAAATCTTTTTCTCAACACATTGTAGAGCAAACTTTTCTGATCAAAATACGACGTCGCACAACTCTGTATAACCTTGCGTTAAAAAGTTAAAGGCATTTTCCTAAAAGCCCTATAGTTGAGAATTTCATACAGCGCTTTCTTTACATGTAACTAGACACTTAACTACATGAGCTGACCGGCACCGATTTTTCAGTTAGATCTTAGTTTTTTGTTGAATTGGAGATTTCTAGAAAACTAGGAAGCGTTTTTCGATTTTTTGAGGTTGTTGGTTGTCTACAAAACGAACAAAGGCCTAACTGAAAAATCGGCGCCGATGAGCTCATGTAGCTAGGTGTTTAGTTTAAAATAAAATAAATCCGAATTCTCTACCTTGAAGTATATTAAAAACTTTTGGGAAATACTTCGGGATCCTTTTTGGACCCTGATCTCTGGAAAAAACCTAAACCGTAAGACTTGGAGACAAAAACTTTTTTTTTGCTAGTGTGCCTAACATTTATGGAAAGTTTCGTCAAGATCGGATATACGGTGTCGGAGATAGTTTCTGAGAAAGGGGCTTCATCACGTTTAGTCTTTCTCAGTTATCAGAGAGAAAACACATGCTTACGGTGGTGTAGAATTTGTATTATCTGCTCGATCATAACAATTTTTCGCAGAATTAGTTATAGTGGAAACTAGTTTTTGAGTTTCTTGTCAGAATGAATGCATGCAAGGCTCTCGGGGAAATGGGTGAAAAAGCAGCAACTACTGAAGTGATTAAAGCCCTAGTGACTACACTTGCTGATGTGAATGAGGATGTCAGAATGAATGTGAAGCTCTCGGGCAAATGAGTGATATGGCAGCAACTGCTGAAGCGATTAGAGCCCTAGTCGTTACACTTGGTGATGGCAAGGAGTATGCCAGTAGGTATGGATGTGAGGCTGTCGGGAAATTAGGTGGTAAGGCTGCAACTGTCGAAGTACCTGAAGCCCTAGCCACTACACTTATCGATGTGAATGAGGATGTCAGAATGAACGCATGTGAGGCTCTTGGGAAAATGGGTGGTAGGGCAGCAACTCCTGAAGTGATTAAAGCCCCGGTCACGGTACTTTGAGATAAGGTTGAGTATGTCAGAATGAATGCATGTGAGACTCTCAGGAAAATGGTTGAAAAAGCAGCAACTGCTGAATTGATTTAAGCACTAGTCACTACACTTGGTGATGAGAAGGAGCATGTCAAAAGGTATGGATGTGAGACTCTCGCACAGTGAGGAGCCAGGTGGACATATGCGAAAATATTCTTTTCCAGAATCTAACCGTTTGCGTAGATACATACATATGTGATCTATCATTTCCTAAAATAGCGGTTCTTAAAGTTTTATAGAGCCCTAAAAAAGAGCCTGAGAAGATTTGGGGCCATAAATCGGCATAAATGAAGAAAGTCAAGCCGCTCGGCAATTTAGCACAATATTCCAGAAGCAAACAATATCGCAAAAAACTTGTTCACTAATTGACTTTATGATAAAAAAACTTATCGTAATCCAATTAAAAACGGAGTAGAAAACAAAGGATCTCGAGTCCCAAAACCTATCTGAAAACGTACCGTTCCGTATATTGTAAACGCTACAAGGGACTAACGTCGATTGAGCGCGCATTTTTACCCCATACTCCTACATATGTATCCTACTTATGGTAGATGCAGAAACTCGTGAAATCTTTCCTAGGCTACTTTACAGGATGCCCAAAAACTCGAGGTCTCTAAGTAGAAAATCTGGCTTTAGGCACTCGTGTTACACTTTGAAGAAAAACCAAGATGATATTCGGAATCAGCTACGCAAGCTACATCGAATAATATATATTCAATAGTTTTTCAAAAAATTTTCGGCTGACTTTTAACGGTAAACCGGGCCCAAAACCATACCGTTCCGTATATTGTACTACAAAGGAATAACATCTGTTCGAGCTGAAATTTTTACCAGATGCTCCTACATATGTATCCTACTTATGTTAGATGTAAAAACTCGTGAAATCTTTCCAGGCTATTTTACAGAATGTCCAAAAACCCAAGGTTTCTGATCGGAAATCCAGTTTTAGGCACCCGTGTTACACTTTGAAGGAAAATTAAGATAATATTCGGAATCAGGGCATCAAACTGCATCGGACTACATATAAAAAGTGTCATTTTCATGAAAGTGAATTTTAGAGGTTTTCCCTAAATACAGATTTTTGACCGGAAATCGAGTTTTTAGCATTCATATTACACTTTGAAGAAAAACTAAGGTGATATTCGGAATCAGCGCATTAAACTAGGTCGAATGATATGTAGCTCAACATATTTTTCAAAAAAAAACGTTTTTGAAAAAAGGCTGAAGTCCAGCCATATTTTTTCGAAAAACTTTTTTTCTTGAAAAACCCTTTTGTTTTCTTAAAAACAATTTTCTGAGTGGTAAACTGTCATTTCTAGTCAAATGAAAGCCGTTTCTGAGCAAAAAACCTCATGTCCGCCTGCTTATGCTAAAGCTCTCCACTGTGTCTCAGGAAAATGGGTGAAAAGGCAGCAACTATTGAAAAGATTAGAGCCGTAGCCACTACACTTGGTGATAAGGTTGAGTATGTCAGAATGAATGCATGTGAGGCTCTCAGGAAAATGGGTGAAGAAGCATCGAGTAACGACAGGATGGTAGTATTATTTGATGCACTTCGTGGTACTGATGGCTGTGGCGGAAGCTTACTAAACTCGCTGTAGGAGTTTGCGTTTCTGAGCGGGTAGTGAGGTGGGTAGGTGCGGATGGCGCAGAGGTGCAACCGGTACCGGTACCGGTATGAAGTATAGCGCCGACCGATATACCGGCCAGTTTACCGGTACCGACATGAATTATAACGGCGACCGGTATACCGTGATTAATATGAAGTAGAATCAGTCGGCCGATATTTTGCG